TTACTCTGGTCATTAGTAATTAAAAGTCCCCATGCATATACTGTATTGATTGTAAATAAGCTCATACATGGTTATAAGTGTCTTTTAATAATTAAAAGTCCCCATGCATATACTGTATTGAGTGTAAATAAGCACACGTGTGGTTATAAGTGTCTTTTAATAATTAAAAGTCCCCATGCATATACTGTATTGAGTGTAAATAAGCTCACACATGGTTATAAGTGTCTTTTAATAATTAAAAGTCCCCATGCATATAGTGTATCGAGTGTAAATAAGCACACGTGTGGTTATAAGTGTTTGCTCTGGTCACAAATAATTAAGAGTCCTCGTGCATATACTGTATTGAGTGTAAATAAGCACACGTGTGGTTATAAGAGTCTTTTAATAATTAAAAGTCCCCATGCATATAGTGTATTGAGTGTAAATAAGCTCACACATGGTTATAAGTGTATTTTAATAATTAAAAGTCCCCATGCATATAGTGTATTGAGTGTAAATAAGCACACACATGGTTATAAGTGTCTTTTAATAATTAAAAGTCCCCATGCATATACTGTATTGAGTGTAAATAAGCACACGTGTGGTTATAAGTGTCTTTTAATAATTAAAAGTCCCCATGCATATAGTGTATTGAGTGTAAATAAGCTCACACATGGTTATAAGTGTCTTTTAATAATTAAAAGTCCCAATGCATATACTGTATTGAGTGTAAATAAGCACACACATGGTTATAAGTGTCTTTTAATAATTAAAAGTCCCAATGCATATACTGTATTGAGTGTAAATAAGCTCACGCAGGGTAAGTGTCTTTTAATAATCAAAAGTCCCCATGCATATAGTGTATCGAGTGTAAACGTGTGTGGTTATCAGTTATTGCTCTCACCGAATAGTGTCTCTTTTTGGTTTTGTCCACACATTTGCCCTGCAGACAGATCCTGCCCTTCCCACATGGCGTTCCCTCAACAGCGGGCAGCTTCTTGGTCAGACACACCATCTGACCCTTCCTGATGACGGAGCACCACAGCCGAGCGCAGATGTCCATCCCGGGACACACACTGTACTCGGAGCCGAACGCCAGACGGCACTGCTGCACCGCATCGTAACTCTGACCCGGCAGCTCCTCCGGCCCCAGCAGAGGAACACGGGGAGCGTCCAGGAGACACTCCGCTGGGGACACACGGAGAGAGCAACGATTACACACAAACACTGGAAAAATTGTAAAACATTCATTACGTCATTCCAGCTGCTCTCCGTGTGGATATCTAGCGGAGTGTAATTTATATCTGTGATGAAACGCTGAATTTCCATCTCCTGCATCCTCCAGAGATCAGTGTAACATGAGGATAAATGAAGCGGCGGCGTTTCTCTGTGTTTTACCGTTTCCGTCGTCGAAGAAGTCGGTGATGGTGTTGGAGGTGCAGCGGCTCCAGGGTTTGGAGGCGTCGATGGAGGTCAGGATGGAGGACATCAGCCGCTTGTCCTCGCTGGAGCCGAAACGCTCCTCACAGAACTTGGAGTCGTCGTGGGACAGACCCAGCAGGTGACCTGAACACAAAGAGTGATGTCATCTGTGTGTGTGTGTGTGTTTCAGGCTGCTCGTGTGCATGTACGTCTATATGTGTATACATGCCTTTGTGTGTGCATGTGTGGTCATGGGTATATGTGTGTGTGTGTGTGTGTGTGTGTGTGTGTGGATGTCTGTGTTCAATTGACTGTTTGTGCGTGCATGTGTTTGCATGTCTGTCAGTGTGTGTGTGTGTGTACATGTCTATATGTCTGCGCGAGTGTGTCTTTCTATGTGTGTGTGTTTCTGTGTTTATATGTGTGTGTGTATACCTTTATGTGTTTGCGCAAGTCTGTCGATCTGTGTGTCTTTATGTTTATCTACATGTGTGTGTGTGTCTGACTGTTTGTGTGTGTGCATGCCTGTGGATTTTGTGTATGCGTGGCTGTCTGTATGTGTTTGTGTGTGTGGATATATATGTATTTATGGAGCTGTCTGTATGTGTGTGTGTGTGTGTGTGTGTGTTTGCACATCTGTGTGCATGTATGTCTGTTTGTATGTGCACATGCACTTAAGTGTGTGCATGTCTGTCTATGATCCGTCTGTGTACCGATCTCATGAGCCACAGTGAAGGCAGCGTGCAGGCCGTCGTCCTCAATGATAGCACAGCTCCTCTCTGGCGAACACACAGTTCCTACATCCGCCATGCCCAGAGTGTCACACGAGTGATGCCCGCACAGATCCTGAATACACACACACACACACACACACACAGAGAGAGAGAAAAACAAACGTTTGTCAGCACGGTATTACGGTATTCAAACTTTCATCATTATTATTTAATCTTATATTATATTTAGCATTGATTAATTGTAGTTTATATAATTCATAGTTCATAATTTTAGTACTTATAATTATTTTATTATTTTCCAAAGCAACATTACTGTCAGTTCAGCATGTAAAACTTATCCAATCTCAGCTTTATTTCATTAATTTTCCCTAATTATCAGGGGTGACCACTGCGGAATAAACTGCCAACTATTCCAGCATGTTTTACAAAGTGGATGCCCTTCCAGCTGCAACCCAGTGCTGGGAAATACCCATACACACTCATCCACTACGGCCAGTTTAGTTGATCAATTACCCTACAGCGCATGTGTTTGGACTGTGGGGGAAACCGGAGCACCCGGAGGAAACCCACGGCAACACGGGGAGAACATGCAAACTCCACACAGAAACAACCCTTGAACCTGCCGCGGCTTGAACCAGCAACCTTACTGCTGTGAGTGGACGGTGCTAACCACTGTGCAGCTCTAGTTTTGTTTCAGTTTATTAGAGTAAACAAGTTAGTTTGGATTGTTTTCTGACTCATTTGGAGAGGCTGATGCTCAGGATTGTGTGTGTGTGTGTGTGTGTGTGTGTGTGTATTGTCTAACAATCATACAGTCAACCTCTCAGTGTTCTCTGTGTTTACTCGTTCAGTGTGAGCAGATGGAAACAACCTGGACTCTGAAAGCAGCTCTTCACACACAGCCCTCAGAAAACACACGCACTTCTAAAAGCAAGTTTGTGTGTGTGTGTGTGTGTGAACAGGTCAAGAGTGAGCTCATGACCTCATTGGAGGAACAAACACACTTCACACACTCCAGTCCATCAATCACTGAACACACACTGATGCTGAGTCTGCAGGATGGTTGCTAGGGTGTTGCTGTCAGAAAGTTCTGCTCTGCTGAACAGTTTTGGGTTTCGGCAGAGACTCGTCTGCTATAGAATGAAGCAGACAGACGGACAGAAGGAAACCTGATATGGAGAGACACTGAGAGGAATGTCTGCCTGAGGGAGGCAGAACATGAAGAGGACAAAACTGACGGAAAATAAGAGATGAAAAAATGACAAACAGATGCACAGCGGGAAAAACTGACTCCAGAGAAAGAGGAGAACTCATGTCTGGCTTTCTGTCTGATAACAGACACAATAACTGACAGAGAGAGACAGACTGAACAACAGACAGACAGACAGACAAAATAACAGACTGCAGACACAACCGACAGGCAGAATAACAGGCTGACAGAATAACAGACCGCAGACAGACAGAAACAAGACAGACATACAGACAAAAAAGACAGACAGAATGACGGACATGCAGACAGATAAAATAAGACAGACAGAATAACATACAGACAGAATAAGACAGAATGAAAGACAGTCAGACAAAATAACAGACTGTAGACACAACAAACAGGCAGAATAAGACAGATAGAATAAAAAAGACAGAATAAAAGACAGACAGAATGACTGACAGGCAGACACAGATAGAATAAGACAGACAGAATAACATACAGACAGAATGACAGACAGACAGAATAAAACAGAATGAAAGACAGTCAGACAAAATAACAGACTGTAGACACAATAGACAGGCAGAATAAGAATAACAGATAGAATAAAAAAGACAGAATGATAGACAGACAGAATAACAGACTGAGAGAATAACAGACAAACAGGCAGAATGACTGACAGACAGACAGAAAAACACAGACAGAAAGACATAATGACAGACAGATAGGCGGAATAACAGATAGACAGGCAGAATGACAGACAGACAGCACAGACAGAATAACACAGACAGAATAACAGACAGACAGAATGATAGACAAACAGAATAACAGACTGAGAGAATGACAGACAGACAGGCAGATTAACAGACAGACTAACAGACAGACAGACTAACAGACAGACAGACAGACTAACAGACAGACAGACTAACAGACAGACAGACTAACAGACAGACAGACAGACAGACAGACTAACAGACAGACAGACTAACAGACAGACAGACAGACTAACAGACAGACAGACAGACTAACAGACAGACAGATAGACAGACTAACAGACAGACAGACAGACAGACTAACAGACAGACAGACAGACAGACTAACAGACAGACAGACAGACTAACAGACAGACAGACAGACAGACTAACAGACAGACAGACTAACAGACAGACAGATAGACAGACTAACAGACAGACAGATAGACAGACTAACAGACAGACAGACAGAATATAAAACAGACAGTCAGAATGACGGATAGACAGACAGCACAGACAGAATAACAGACAGACAGATAAACAGAACAACAGACAGACAAACAGACATACATACATACAGACAGACAGGCAGAATGACAAACAGGCAGAATAACAGACAGACAGACAGACAAACAGAACAACAGACAGACAAACAGACAGACAGAAAGAATATAAAACAGACAGTCAGAATAACAGACAGACAGATGTAGCAGAGCGAGTTGTTGCTGATTCTGCAGAACCAACCACAGCTTCTGTCACCTGCATCTGATTTACAGGTGTTACAGAGAGAAACACACAGAAACAGCTAAACTGACCTGAGATCAGCCTTCTCACTGATCTTCAGGCGCACAAAATATATAAACAAATCAATCATAAATGTTGACTGATTCACTGAAACAGCAGAATCAATGAAGACTCAATCAAACATGAGAAGGATATTCAGAATTATTCACCCTCCTGCTGAATTTTAATATTTTATTTCCCCCCAATTTCGATTTAACGGAGAGAAGATTACTTCAACACATTTCTAATCATGATAGTGTTAATAACTCATCTCTAATAGCTGATTTATTTTCTCTTTGTCATGATGACAGTAAATGTTATTAGACTAGATATTCTTCAAGACACTAGTGTTCAGCTTAAAGTGACATGTAAAGGCTTCACTAGGGTAATTAGGGTAAAGTTAGGGTAATTAGGCAAGTCATTGTATAACAGTGGTTTGTTCTGGAGACAATCCAACACTAATATTGCTGAAGGGGGTGAATAATATTGACCTTATAAATGGCTTTAAAACAATTAAAAACTGCTTTTATTCTAGCCGAAATAAGACTTTCTCCAGAAGAAAAAATATTAGAGCAAACAGTGTGAGAAACTCCTGAATCTGTTCAACATCATTTGGTAAATATTAAAAAAGAAACTAAGTTCCCAAGATGGCTAATAGTTTTGACTTCAGCTCTACATCAGCCATCTGAAGTCCAGCTCTTCTGCGAGTCCAAAACACATTCTTGGAGTCTTGCGTTTCTCAGCAGAGAGCGGATCCGGCTGCAGACGGTTGCTAGTCAACGTTGGCACTGATGGAGAAAATCTGAAACAGCGTGAGTTCAGATTCACAAGAGCTCAGAGGTTTTCACTCAGCTGTCAACATATAGAGACGGCGGACGTGTGAAATACCCCAGTGTAATACAACCAACACACACACACACACACACACACACACACACAGACACACAGACAACGACGGAAGCACACCGGCGTCCACCAGAGACTTCAGAGACAAGTGATGAAGACGACACACAGCTGAAGTCAAAATTATTCACCCTCCTGTGATTTCTCTTTAGGATATTTCCCAAATAATGTTGAACAGATTCAGGAGTTTCTCTAATATTTGATCTTCTGGAGAAAGTCTAGAATAAAAGCAGTTTTTAATTGTTTTAAAGACATTTTAAGCTCAATATTACTAGCCCCCTTCAGCAATATTAGTTTTGGATTGTCTCTAGAACAAACCACTGTTACACAATGCAGGGCTCAACAATAAGGGCTGCCCGGTGGCCCAGGGCCAGCTTGAGAGACGCGTGGGACAGTAGACAGGATCATTACTGGCCTGATTGGTGCTGCCTTGTCACTAACATTGAATTTGTCTGCGACTATTTGTCAATATCGTTCATTTTAAGTTTGTGCTTTTAAGTCTTTAAAGATGACCTGCTCTGTGATGTCGTAAACACCATACTGCTTCCAGTTTCTCTTATCTGATTTGATGTTTGAGCATGCTATTTTTTCTGTAACCTGGTAACAACCAGTACAGCGAAGACACGGCAACATCAAATTATAAGGCTAAAAGAAAATGTCTGTTTATAACCTCATGGAAGTGGACATTTACGTGTGAACAACACGACAAAAAAATAAAAATAAAAAAATGAAGTGATGCTTTGCAGTTTGACCAGTCAGCCACCTTTTGTTAAATAATTTCAAACCGCATTAAAATACCTCCACATTTTCCTCTGCTCTTTTTGTTTGCATAACACTTCTATTAAAAAAATGTAAGCATTGAAACTCTAGATTGACAGACTTTATTTATTTATTTTATTTTTTTGTGGGGGTTTTCACCTTTATTGGGATAGGACAGTGGAGATTTTACAGACAGGAAAGTGTGGGGAGCAGAGATAGGGAGGGATCGGCAAAGGACATTGAGCTGGGAATCGAACTCGGATCGCCGTGAGCACCTTGGTGCTATGTGTCGACGCACTAACCACTAGGCTATTGGCGCCGATGACAGACTTTATTTTTGACAAAATATTTAAAATATGCGGCTAAAAATAGCTAATAACTCTTTTTTTTGGTGGGGCCAGTGAAAATATTGCAGGGCAAGTAAATATCTGAACCACTGGCCTGATCGAAGCAGTAGAAAAAATCCTTAGCGTTGAACCATGCAATGACTTGCCTAATTACCCTAACTTTACCCTAATTACCCTAGTGAAGCCTTTACATGTCACTTTAAGCTGAATATAGTGTCTTGAAGAATATCTAGTCTAATATTATTTACTGTCATCATGACAAAGAGGAAATAAATCAGCTATTAGAGATGAGTTATTAACACTATCATGATTAGAAATGTGTTGAAGATTTCTATCTATTAAACAGAAATAAAGAATATAC